ATAAGATTCAGTCACGTGTCCTGTTTTAAGCCAATTACAAACAATTTAATAACGCCACCATCTTGGTATTTTTTATTTCCTATTCCTTCCTCATGGCTAAACTTTTTTTTTTTAACATTACATTCTGTCACTTTTTCTATAAGATTTAAATAAACTTTTAAAATTTCTCCTTCAACATCAATGCCCACCTTTAAAATATAATCTTTTGACAATTTTCTCTCCTTTATTATTGTTTTAACAAGTCCTTTAATGTTTTTACAATAAACCAACTGTCTGCAATCTTTTTCAAAAATCATTTCTTTAACATTGAAGTTATTATTAAAAAACCTATCTTCTTCAGTTAATTTTTCTCTTACATTTCTTCTAAATATTTTTCTTCCCCTCTAGCTTCTAAATATACAAAGAACTTTGGCTCCCAACTCTTAATATCTTAATATCAAAAGAAAATTACTTCCATGTTTTTTTTAGTTTTTATATTTCAAATATTTTATATAAATTTCTTCATTTCAGATTTAAAATATTGAATTAAAAATAAAAGGCCCTACCTTTATCAAGTTCTTCTCGTTGTGAGAGTGCGAGGGTGGGGTAATCCTCTTCCAATGACAACCTTACAACTTTTAAACATTTTTATTTTTCCAGGTGATGATGACTTTACTCTTCCCAACTTGATTCTTCTCTATTTTTAGATGTTGATCTTGAAGTAATTGTAGTTTGTGCAATTTTACAAATGTCACAAACACAGAATAATTGGTTTCTGGTAAGTATACTTTGACTTTTGAGAGTTTATACGGTTTACTCAAAATAATGTTTTTATCTCCTTTTTCAAGTCTTTCTAATGCTTTTCTACTTTAGTACAAATGTAATTTAGTGCTAATGTACTTTAATACATTGGAAAGTTTTCATTCTTCAAATCAAATGATTTTAAAAAAAACTTATGTGTTCTGTTTAATATCACACTTCCTTCTTTAATTTTCATCATTCTTGATCCTTTTAAAAAAACAAATAAGCCACGTTTCCTGTTTTAAGCCAATTACAAACAATTTGTTAACGCCACCATCTTGGTATTTTTTATTACCTATTCCTTCCTCATAGCTAAACTTTTTTTTTTGAGATTACATTCTGTCACCTTTTCTATAACATTTTAATAAACTTTTAAAATTTCGTCTTCAACACCAATGCCCACCTTTAAAATATAATCTTTTGACAATTTTCTCTCCTTTATTAATGTTTTAACAAGTCCTTTAATGTTTTTACAATAAACCAACTGTCTGCAATCTTTTTCAAAAATCATTTCTTTAACATTATAATTATTATTTAAAAACCTATCTTCTTCACTTAATTTTTCTCTTACATTTCTTTTAAATATTTTTCTTATTAATAAGTCTACAAGTGTTTATAAGTTTGCTTATTTCCAAAATTAAGATTTTTTCAACTGGAAAAAGCGCTTTCGAAGAGCTTTTCATTTGGTCAACTTCGGCGCCTCGTCTTAATATCTTAATATAAAAAGAAATTTACTTCAATGTTTTCAGTTTTTATATTTCAAATATTTTATATAAATTTCTTCATTTCAGATTTAAAATATTGAATTAAAAATAAAAGGCCCTACCTTTGTCAAGTTCTTCTCGTTGTGAGAGTGCAAGGGTGGGGTAATCCTCTTCCAATGACAACCTTACAACTTTTAAACATTTTTATTTTTCCAGTTGATGATGACTTTACTCTTCCCAACTTGATTCTTCTCTATTTTTAGATGTTGATCTTGAAGTAATTGTAGTTTGTGCAATTTTACAAATGTCACAAACACAGAATAATTGGTTTCTGGTAAGTATACTTTGACTTTTGAGAGTTTATACGGTTTACTCAAAATAATGTTTTTATCTCCTTTTTCAAGTCTTTCTAATGCTTTTCTACTTTAGTACAAATGTAATCTAGTGCTAATGTACATTAGGAAAGTTTTCATTGTTCAAATCAAATGATTTTAAAAAAACTTTTGTATTCTGTTCAATGTCACACTTCATTCTTTAACTTTTATCATTCTTGATCCTTTTAAAAAACAAATTAAGCAGACTAAAGCTCTATTATCTTTTTAAGAAACTTTAATATTTGGCATTTTAAAACGATATGAGCAATACTAACCAATTTTTAAAATTTTTTAATTATCTTTTGCAGCAGATAAAAAAAAGTTCATAGAATCTATTATAAATTTTTTTTTGCGGTATACCAAAAGGAAGTATAAAAAACAGAGAAATGTTGTTTATACATTTAACTTGTAATGAAAACGCTTTTTTACCGTAATTAACGTATTGTTTAAAACTTTCCATAAAATTTACCGTAATTAACGTATTGTTTAAAACTTTCCATTTTTATATAAAGGTATAAAAACTTTTTTAATATAAAGATATATAAAAATATATAAGATAAAATAATTTTCACGATGAATTTTTATCTTTTTTGAGATAATGCAAAAAAAAAAAAATTTTCTTGTTTTCCAATTTGGACCTAAATTTTCAGGTGAATATTGCTCCCAGTCATTCCTATCCTCCTATCATTGTAATTTTTTGTAAAACATTTTTAATTAATACCAGTATCAATATTACAAAAATTGAAGTTTGCACCAACTCTGGAAGTTACCTATTTTGAACATCAAAAAATCATGACCTGCCCGCTTAAACCCCTTTTTTTTTTTAAAAGATATGATTTATATATATCTTTTAAAAATTTTATACAGAATTTATATATAGAATATTTTAATCCATTTCTGGTGTACTTTTTTTCGCAAGAAATATTTCCTTTAGGGTGTGATATATAAATATATATATATATATATATATATATATATATATATATATATATATATATATATATATATATATATATATATATATATATATATATATATACATATATATAATTTCATTTAATAAAAAAAAATATATGTTTAACATGAAATTGTGCAAGAGATCTCTCTCTAAAGTTTCAGTATAAATTAGTTTTATGTGAAACAATTCTTCAGATTTATCTCATGACTAAGTTACAAATAAAATCGTTTATCTTGTGTTAAAGCACAGTATATGATAAATCAAACGGTTCTGGTTTTTATTTTATCTGTAAAAAGGGGAAGTTTTTCTAATAAAAAAAGAAAATAATTTTTGGTTATAATCGTTCTATAGTTTAAAGGAATTCACAGATTTTTTGTATTGTTTTTTTTTTTTAATATATTTACGTCAGTCTCTACTTTATCGGATCAAAATATTACTTAAATACAACAACAGAAAATAGCACTTGACAGTGTATAATGTTTTTATTCCATAATATTGTTTTCAGAATAACTATAAATACCTATGAATGCTGTGCAAACAGTAACATAATAGATTGTCGATTTTAAATTAAAAAAATGCAATTAGAACAAAATGCTTAAGCTAACTAAGTGACTAAATAACAGTACCTTTTAAATCTACCTAATAGAATAGACTTTTATTAAAGTATATTACAGAGAGGGGATTTACAAATATCTAATAGTTTTTGTGTTTGCTAAATAACAATTCTTCAGATTTGAGATCTTAATTAGAGAAAGGGATTTTCACTTTTCTGATTTAAGAATTTTTCTGAAACTTACATTAATATTTAATATAAAAAATTAATTTATTTCAAATTTTTCTTTAATACACATATGTGAGATAAAATTCTTGACGGAATTATATTGTCATAGATGACAATAGACAATACCGTCAAGAATTTCACCCCACATTTTGCCTAGTAAATCCTGAATCGTTTAATTTATTGCATTTTACATTTTTTAGTTTTTCCAACGCGAATAACCTCATGCAAAGAAAACATAAGGGGTCAAATCTGGACTGTTGGCGAGCTATTCTGACACAGGAATGAAACACGAGTAATTTTACTTTTGAACCGTTTTTGTTTTATTTTTTGAAAGCTAAATCCTGCTGGAAAGTATATGGAAGCTAAATATTCTATTAGAATGAGATTTTACATTTGTCATAAAAATAGAACTCTTAGTTAATTTTAATTTCTCTATCAATAAAGTATGATATAAGTAAAAAATTTAGTGCGAGTTTTTTGTCCTTGAAAAATGTACCATAAAAAATTAACCCCTGATGCACTTTGGAAAAGCCCTTATATTAGGCGGGACCTCTTTTAAACTAACTCTATTAACTCAATCATTTTTGTCTTTTAACAGGGCGCCTAAGCAGGATTAGCTGTTCATTAGAAAAAGTTGCCGTTTCTTTATCATTTTTTGTCTCAGACCAGCAGAGAGCCGACGACACCGCCTATCCCTACTTTTTTTTATTAAAGAAAACTCTAGATATATAGATGAAACCCATGTTGTCGGCTCTGATATGAAGAAACCAATGTTGTCGGCCTTGAGATAACTGGTTTTTAATTAGCTTTCATCCAGTTTGTTTTAATCAAATTTCTGATGAATTTGGAATTGGTTTTCAACTATTTTCAACTGATCTTCCTAATTTAGCTGGATAGCGTCTATAAGGAATAAGTTTTATGAATTTTTTGAAACGAACCTCCTTTTTTCTCTCTGTTTTTTTTTTGCTGGAATTTCATCACCATCCTTAAAACATTTTAAAGTTGCAATATACCATCTTACGAAAAAAAACTTTTGTAAAACAAAAACTTTATACAAATAATTGTAAATATTGTTTACATATTTAACAATTACACTTTTGTCATTTTTATTTTTACTTAAAAATTTTAACTTTACAAGTTGCATATAGTCGCATACTAACAATTCGTTGTATTGCGATTCAAATTACTCTTTGAGAGAGATTCTTCTTTTTAAAATAGACGATGATGTAGCTACAATAAAAAAAAAAAGTTAAAATTTTAATTTTTATTATCTTATTTCCAAACTTTTTTAATAACAATAATAAAAATGATCACATAAAAATGATTAATGGAAACCATCATAAAACTTTATTTCAAATGTTAATGTCACAAAAACTCGTTTGCAAAAAAAGTGCACGACTCAAAAATCACCTAAATTAAAAAATGTTATCAAATTATCTTTAATATTTTAATTGAACTTTTCACAAAATGTTTATTCAAATAATTTGATTATCGAATATTCAAATAACACATCAAACCACTTCGATACCAGGAATCTCCAGCAGAACAAACTTAGAAGTAGATAAAAAACTTAAACCGAACAAAAAGCAGATAAAAAATCAAAACTGGCTTAATAGTAAATCAAGAATTTAAACCGAGTTAAGAGTAGATAAAGAAATTTAACCGATAGATAGAAAATCTAAATCTGGTTAGAACTAGATAGAGAAACCAATAAAGTTAGCATTGCAATGCATTATTTTTTATTAATACAAGACGCACAACGACATAACACGCATAACAACAACAACAACAACAACGAAAAATAACTTTTTAGAGGTAGAAGTTGAATAGAGTTATGAAAATGCCGCCATATCGACTTTTACACTTATTTGACAATGACTTTGCAGATTTCAAAATTTAAAATAATAAAACTTTTTACCAACCATTCATTATATCAGAATCAATATATCAGCAATTAAACACCAAATTAATAATCATACACAGGGGTCAAACACAAATACAAATACTTTAATTTCAGATTTCCAAATTAAGTACAAATATAAGTAATTGGCATTTTCCAAATACAAATACAAGTATTTGTAAGTTAGGTTTAAAAAAATACATAGATTTGTTTTAATACAATATTGATAAAATGGTATGCTAAATAGAAGAATGAAAACAAGTCTTTTATAAATATCAATTTAAATTTAAAACTCACACAAGATTAAAATTAAAAATCACACAAGATTAAAGAATACACTGGTGAGCTATTGGTGACAGACATGATCATAAGCTCTCTTTCATCTATTTCTCCTGAAAGAACTCTGGAAATTTGGGTAAAAGATTACTACATCTGTCCAAAACATCTGTGGACTAGTCCAAGATCATCTGTGCAATTTCGTCCAAGATCATCTGTGTTTTTTTTTTTACTCTTACAACATCTGTCCAATATTATCTGGAAAATCAACGACCCCTTTATTTGCATCTGGAAAATCAACAACATCTTTAGACAGAACTACATCTGGTAATTTTTCACAAAGGCCAATAACATCTGGAAGAATTTCTTACAGATATAATTACATCTGAAAAAAAAACTTATATGAAACTAAATCTGGTTAAAATAATGTATTATTATTTAATAATTTTTTCCAGATGTAACTACATCTGAAAAAAAAAATCATATATGTAACTACATCTGATTAATATAACACATTATAATTTAAAAATTTGATAAAATCATGTAGCTATTTTTAATATAATTTAAAAAATGTAACTACGTTTTCAGGATTTACAGATGTAGTTGTACATACGTGGTTTTTTCTTAACATAATTGAAAAGATGTAACTACAACTGTGAAACCTCCAGGTGTAGTTGCACAGATGTTATTATACTTAGATAATTGAAAAGATGTTTTTGTTTGAATTAAAAAAAATTGAAAAAAAATATATAAAAAAGACTACATCTGTAGTAATCATTTACTTTTTACACAGATTATTTATTTTGTAATTAATTTTTTTGCTCTTTGTCATTAAGACTTTGGCCATCCCTGCTGTAGATGGTAATTTTAGGTATTTAAACACTTTTTAAATACATTTCAGTTTGTAGTTGTTAACTCTCTTCTAGGTAAGAGGTTTAAATAAAATTTATTTTGAGATATAAGTCCAGAAAAGTCTAGAGCTAAGCCAATGAGTTTGATAAATATAAACGTCACCAATAACAACATCATTAGCAAATGAATAAAGAATAAAAAAACTAAGGTAATCAAGTGAAGAGGTGTTAAACAAAAGCACGTAATGGAGTCACGTAACAAAAGCACGTAATGGAACAGTCAGAGAATTCAAATCTGATTTAAAATCAAAACTAAAAAAAAATTATACTTTTTTATATATTATTATTAATATCTGGATATATTAAAACAACTTACATTGCTTGCTGATTCGAGGTGTTCTGGGTAAACTTTCGCATCTACCCTCACTCATCCAAGCTGAAACCTGAAATTTAATATTTTCCCTTCAGAATAACATTTTAAAACTAAAAACAAATTTCAAATATAACTAAATGTAGTTACTGTAAAGTTATAAACTTTAGTTGGCTGAAGAGCTTGCACAGTAAAACAGCGATCAACTCCTCTATATATTACCTGGAAATGTTTAACTGTGTAAATTATTGCTGTAGTTCTTTAATTGTTTTGAAACTTTATTATTTATTTATATATAAATTTAATTCTAAAGCATAAATCAAAGAAATAAATATATATTTAAACAAATAATAAACAAAAAATCATGATATGAGGAGGAAAAATATTTGCTAAAAAAAGAACAACATTCAATAAAAAAGGACATTTGAAACAAAACACATAATGGTTTTCCAAAAAATAGTAAATCTAAAAGGTTTTAAGAACATAAAAACAGAAGAAAAAAAATATCCTATGCATTTGGATTTCCTTTAATCAGTAAAGAGTGCAATAACATCAATATGATATTATATTAGACTTTAGAAAAAATAAACTAATCTAAGCTTAAGAATGTTTTTCATAAGGATTAGAAAAAGGGCTTCAAGTATACTGAGAACTCAAAAAAAAAATTTTTTTAACATCTTTGTTTCCAACAAGGCTGAAACAACCACTATAAGAGTTGGAAGTTACTGGAAGAGAAAATATGAAGTTTGTAGAGCAAGATAATGATTGACAGACAACTTAAAAGATTGCAAATTGTATAAATCAGGAAAGCAAGATAAAGGAAGTGAATTCCAAAAAAACTGATGTTTGAGGAAAAAAACTAGATAAATAGGAGATTTTATAGCACTTAAGAACAGTCACAGAAAAAGGATGAGACTTAACTAAATGACAAAGTAACACAATGAATTTGAGTAGATAGTACAAAAATCGATAGCTCTTTAGAGCAGTGCTCATTATAATATTTGTAAAAAAGAGAAAGAGAAGCAACATTACCACAATGTGATAATGGTTGGAGGTTGGCTGCAAAAGCAGGTCTAACTATGTTTACAATTTATTTTTGCATCTTGTCTAAAAAACAAAGAGCATATGAATAAGAGTGCTGTCCATCGAGGACTATTTTTAAACTACCAATGGAATGAAAGGATTCAAAAATCTTAAAGATGTTACCTGATACATTGTAAGAAAAAAAGTTATTGAGAAGACCAGCATGTCAAACTTTATCAAAAGCTTTAGAAATGTCAAGAATGATGGTCTTAACTTCTTCAACTCAATTTAATGCACAATAAAACCTATTGGTTATTACTGTTAGCAAATCAACTGTAGAACAAGAAGATCAAAACCCTTATTGATGATCAGAAAGTAAGTTATTAGATTCAAGATGAGACATTAAGTGTTTATTAATTAAAGATTCAAGAACTTTGCTTATGATAGGAATAAGACTAACGAGATGGTTGTCAGACTGATTAGGTTGCTTGTTAGATTACTCTCCACAATATACTCTTCAGATTGCTCTCCAAAATTTTCAAAAATTTTCAGATTCTTCAAATTGAATTTTCAGATTCTTCAAATCTTCAGATTGAATCCCAATTTTCAAAAATTTTTTAAAATGGGGATAACAGATGCCGCTTTACAGCACACTGGAAAACAAGACTCTTTGAACTTGTTTTTTTACTGTTAATAATTATTGTAATATTAATTATATTCTTTTAGCGCAACACTCTTATTGAGACCTCTAAAATAAGTCTCTTTGGATTATTGTTTACTACTGACCTTTTATTGAAACCATAAACAAAATGAATCCTTTTTTACTAGTTTCTCACTCCTGATTCAATTCTCTGCTTCTGTTCCCTGATTCAATTGTTCAATTTAATCTTGTTTTATAATCTTTTCTGTTTAAAAAAACTTTTAAATAGTTTTTATCACAAACTTTGAAAATCACACATCTCTTCATGCTTTCCTGACTCATCTAATTTATAGACTTTTATCAGCAGTTTTTAATTTACAGTCTTCTATCAACAGTTTTTAATTTACACCCTTCTATCAACTGTTTTTAATTAACAGTCTTCTATCAACAGTTTTTAATTTACACTCTTTTATCAATAGTTTTTAATTTACACCCTTCTATCAACAGTTTTTAATTTACAGCCTTCTATCAACTATTTTTAAGTTACAGCCTTCTATCAATAGTTTTTAATTAACAGTCTTCTATCAGCAGTTTTTAATTTACAGTTTTCTATCAATAGGTTTTAATTTACAGTTTTCTATCAACAGTTTTTAATTTACAGTTTTCTATCAACAGTTTTTAATTTACAGTTTTCTATCAACAGTTTTCTTTTCTTTAACTCTCTTTACTACTTTTGGTTTCACAGTTAACTTCAAATCTTAATATGGCTTTTTGTTGTGAGCAAAATAAAAAAACAACAACAGTAAGAAAGAATGTAAATGATGGGAAAAATCATAAAGAAACATGCATAAGCAAAGACTATAGTAACAATAAAATTCCTCATATGATTAGCAAAAAAACTTTAATAGCCTCTGTGTTCACACTTTCCGTGTTAAATGAAAAATTACTTTTTCTATCAGAAAATTATAATTCATGTCACAACTACTGTTACTAAGAATCAGAGAATTTCTTGTTAGATTTCAAACTAAAAACAAATTAAAGTAGAAAAACATAAAAAAACAACAAACCATGTTATCCATTCTAAGTTCATAATAATTTAATCTGCCAAGAAGATTTTTAGGAGGATCCCACTCAATAAAAATCTCTGTTTTACCATGAACATGTAATTGAGGAGGTGAGGGTGCAAAATAATCTAATAATAAAAACTTATACAATATTATCTTATAAATATTTTGATTTAAAAAAAAATATGAAAATGAAAAACAACTATATAGTAGATGTTAATAATACTAACAGTAACATTAATATATTTTTTGAATTATAGAAAATACATAATTATCAAATTTATTATAAATCTATGCAAAATTAATAACAACTCTGTAAAAGATAAAAACATGATAATGAAATATTGAACTATTTAAGAAAAAAAAGTTGTGGGATTTCCAGAAATTATTGCTAAAATATGTGTTTGTCTAGGACTTTTCCAGGTTTTTAAGGACTGCTGGCCACCTTGCCTTCCTTACACAGTGTATTTTTCAAACTTAAATAATATTTTATACTATGTTTTATATTTTTATAGTTTATAGTTTGTCATAAATAGTAGTAAACTTATAGTTTAGTACTATTCGTTAGTACTATTATAGTTACTATTATAGTTACTATTATAGTACTTATTTAGTATATATAATATATATAATATATTAAATATTAAATATATTAATATTAAAAATTTAAGATATGATAATCATCATTATGATGATAATTTTCATGTCTTAAAACTTATGACTCACACAGTAGTTAAAAACTATATAAGTATATATATATATATATCAATACAGTTATCACATATCATATATAGTTATAGTCTTATCTGCAAGAAGCGCCTTTTGAAACAATCCAAATGCTAAACTGCCTTTGCTCTCGTTTCAGCCTTAAAAATCAAAAGTGTTTGGCCATAATCCTAATTACTAATGACAAACTCACACAGTTATAACAAACTTCTGTTTGTTATAACTGTGTGAGTTTGAATCTCTAAATATTTTAACTTCTAGTTCTTAATCTTCTCAAAAACAAAAAAAAAATCAGTTTATAGAGATTTTTGTTTAAATGAATTAATAAAAATTACTTTTACTTCAAAGCTTTTGTCTTTTTTACCCAGCCTTGTGCCTGTACCCATACCATGTCTGTGGCTGTGCCCTATACCACGTCTAGTGCCTATATCCTGCTTTCAAGATGTAAAAATGCATTTTCAAAATATTAAATTATGCTTATTGTGTTTTGTGTAATGTATAAAATAATGATAACAAAAAATACCAAGAGTATTTGTTGTTCCTGTCAAATAAGCTGCTAATCCTTTTCCTTCACTAGTTAGAGCACGTATCTAAACAAAATGGCTGCTTATATATCTAATCAAGTTACTTTATGTAAGCTGAGGACATTTTTTTTTATTTTTTAGCATAAAACTAATATTAAAATAATTAACAAACAGTTACAAATAACAAGCAAAAAGTTAAAATACTTTAAATTAAAAGTTATTTTATTAATTGTTAACTTATTATTATACTAAACTGAAAAAATTGTTAGAATATCTCAATATCTCAAAAGGTTATTATATTTTAGTTTTATGCTAGTTAATAATTGAAAAAGTTTCTCTTAAATTTAATTAAACTCTTCCCTAAATTTAAGTTCCAGTTTAAGGAAAAGATTATAAAACAAAGCAAGGGCCATTTTGAAACTAGCAGACTTTGAAACATCCAAATAGATAAGAAAGAGAAAGCAAAAATTGCAATATCTAATATTAATAAAAATTGCAATATCTAATAATAAAAAATATCTAATGCAAAAAATATAACAACTGGCCATTTGGATGATTGTTATATTAGTCAAACTAAAGAAAAAAAAAATTTCTTTAATTATGTCATCAAATTTTATCATATATTACACTTTATAAAAGTGCATTGCAAGGGTTGTTCTAACAAGCGGTAAAGTGGTTTAAGTTTAAAGGGTAAACAGATTCTATCTGTTAACAAGCATTCTTCTTGCATCCCTTCTTCATCTTTTAGGCAGATGTATTTATTATAAATTGTTTCCGGTTCAGGATGTTGAATGCTGTATCTCCTTGACTCAATGCATGGGTTTTGCTTAATTCTCTGTTTTTATGACAACTCATTCTATTATTTCCTAATGAAAATACAGTTCTATAATTCAGTTTTATGGTTCTATAATTCAGTTTTATTAACTTTGTAAAAAAAAAGACACTTAAGGATGAGGACAAAAAACTCTTTTATTGCCCTCACTAACTTTCCCTTTAAAGTACAGTATTTGAAGTGGTAATAGGAAACTGTTGCCTGTCAATAACACTACACCTACCAATAAGTTATTTATAGCAAATTTTGTGAATGCAATTTTTTTATTTGTTTTCTCCCCAGGAAATTTTTGAAGTTAAAATCAAAAAGAAACTGCAAGCCTCGAGCTGTTACAGATGGAAAAACAGATTAAAGTCTGGCTGCCTGTTCTAACCAATCCAAAAAAGAAGACTTTTTGTCAAAATGTGAATTCTTTTATACAATTATTGTAAAAATATCATTAGAAGAAAAAGATTATTTTAAAAAGTTTCAAGACCTGAAATGAAATTCTGTAACATTTCCATGATTTCCATGACCAGTAGCAACCCTGATTGTATATATTTTTTAAAAATTCTTTACAAATTTTGTTAAAAACTAGAAATTAATCTACGTGATCTTCAATAATAGGGTTAAAAGCAAGATTTTTAACAAATCACTCGGTGGCATATAAATTTTTTAAAATTTCTGGAAAAAATCATGAGCTCTCTAACTATTGTCCAATCAGTCTTCTATCTGTTGTTAGCAATGTTTTTGAGTAAATTGATCATTCTAATCCCATCTTGAGTCAAAAACCTTACTGTCAGACAATCGATTTTTGGATATATCTAAAGCTTTCAATAAAGTTTGGTGTGGTGTTATAAAGTTCTGCTTGCTTCATGTGATGTATCTGGAAAAGATTTTGAAATTATCAAATCATTTTTTCTTCTTCATTTCCAGTAACTTTAAGGGTAGCTAAAAGTTCAATCCTTGCTTTTGTTTTTATCCTATCTTCATTGTCGACCTCATAACCTTAAATCTAAGGCTGGCTCTATTTGGTAATGATTTCACTTTATACTCCAGCCTTGACAAAAAGTCTTCTCTTTTCAATGGCTAAGAACAGGCAATTGATCTTAAATCATATCTCAGTTCTGTAACAAATTGTTTGTAGTGGCTTGTGAATTTTAAATTTCATTTAATTTCCAACAAAACTCGACAAAGTTCACAAATTTCTCATTTTCAACTTCATAAACTGCGTTGTTAATGAAGTTGAAAATGCTCTATCTGCTAAGATTGAGCCTCTTTTCCATGATCATAAAGTTGCATCTCTTTCTTACAAATACTAGGAGATATCATCTCAAGCTCCATAAACTAAAACTTGTTCTTGTTTGACTCGTAATTCAGCAAAGCCTTATCTTTTTACTGTATCAGCCCCTGCATGCTCTAAAAACTTTTATTTGTCTTGTTTTTTCCTGCACTTTAACTCTCTCCCATCTTCATGTTTTCTGACGCATACAACCTTCAACTTTTCAAGTCTTCTGTCAACCTGCTTGCTATATAACTTTATAATTTTTTCAGTTTCAAGTAACATTTCAGTTTCAACTTTTAAAACCTTCTGTCAACACTTTTTATTTTATTTTACTTGCTATATAACTCTATATTTTTTTCTTGTAACTCCCAACTTATTAGTGGTTGCTTGCAGCCTTGTTGGAAGTTACAGGTGTTGTTTGAGATGTTTGTTGGTGATAGCTCTGTCTCCTCTAACTGTTGCCTAGTTACTATTATTATTAGTTATTAAACTGTTATAAGTAAAACCCTTTTAAAATTTCATCTTGAGTCTAAAAATTCAATTTCTAAATTAAATCTAAACCTGAATATTAGTTATTTATTCACTAATTATTTGTTATCGGTATTGAGAAATAAATGAATAGTTTTAATTTTTTTGTTTTACTGCTGACTCATTGTAACCATAGTAATAAAACGATAAAAAGATTAGGTAAAAGGAAGTGAGGCAAGATAATGATAAAGTGAGGCAAGCCTGTAGCTTTTTGGTTGCTCTCTTGATATGGTTGATTGAAATCTTGATATTTTTCTTATGATATTTATAATATATCTTGATAAAGGCTTTTGATGCTGGTTTTCTCAATAAACTATTTTCATAAGATGCATCTCAGAAAAACTTCAAAATTATTGAATCATTCCTTTCTAACCACAGTATTTAAGTTGCTTTATAAAAACTTGAAATAAATTGTTATTTAAAAATTTGAAATAAATAAGTGTGTGATAAACAACAAACTTATTCATTTCATTTTTTTTTTCCATTTATTTATTGAGATTTTCTTCATGTTTCATTTTTTTCATGATCCTAGATATAGAAAGATAATTGAGAAAACCAGCATAATAGATTTATTCAAGTCTTTGATAAATAAGATGAATTTATTTTATTTGACAGTTTTTTCTAATAAGATGTTGTTAAATATAATAATGCTTGTTATCAGACAGTTTTTTCTAATTTTTTTCTGAATTTTTATAAACCATTGCTTTAAATAACTTTCTTCTCTTTTTTTCATTGCTAACAAAAATCACGAATCACTCAAAAACTCTAATTGATAACATATTTTTTAATGCAACTTCTACAAATATTTTTGCCGGTAATTTTACTTCTACGGTATCAGATCATTTACACTAACTTTTAATTCATCCATTTTATAGAACCAAATTTAATTCTCATATAAGCTGCATCTTTCGGAATTTAAAAAAAGTTGTTATGCAGTGATTTCTCAAAAATTAGCTGGACTAATGTAATCAATGTTAACGAAGGACTAACAAGTCATTTGATGAGTTTTTCACAAGTTTCAATTTTCTTTTAGATATACATGCATCATTAAAAATAGTCAGCAATCGCTGCTTCTCATGGGGTCTCAATCCTTTAATACAAAAAAAATCTTGACTTTAATCAAAATACAAAATAAAATATGTAACAAATTTCTTAAAACAAAGAATTCTAATAACAAACTCAATTAAGAAAAATCTTATAAAACATATAGAAACTTATTTGTTAATCTGACCCGTCAAAGTAAAAAGAACCATTACTCTAAGTTTTTCTCTGATCATGCCAAAAATTTAAAATCTACATGGGATGGTATAAGTTTTTTAAACATTAATTTGAGAGTTCATATCCTTCATATCCTATATATAACTCATTACATAGACAACTGCACAATGAAAAAATTTTGCTTTGCTCTGGAGAGATTTTAACTGTTTAACAGTATGGGATGAAATGAGATAACCAAACATTATTGAGGTAACTGAACTTTTTGGAATGAAACTGTTCAATTGTTGAACATGAAAGGTTTTTACAATTAAAAGATATGTTATAAAAAAAAAAATTAACTTCTTCATGAAAAAATTAACTACTTGCTGCTTTGTTTCATGATACCTTTGTATCATATTTCTCTATATATATTTATAATTATATATACATATACTTGGGCTGTACCGGATTTAACTTTTCCAAACCTGGCCGGAGCTGTATTTGCCAAATTTCTACTAACAAATCCGGAGCCGGATTTCGAAAAATTACAGGAGCCGAAATCCTGTATATTCCTACTTGATATTGATAGTGGTCAACAATATTGACCATTGTCAATACCAAGTGATGATATAGAAGAATCACCCAGCTGGACTTGTTTTGCTAGAATTTATTCAATTTTGTCAATCTGCTGCTCAGCAGGCTTAGATGGACTTCTATCTTGCATCAAAACTCTCTGCACTGTAACTTTATTAAATGTATATTTAAACACATTTGTGTCTTCACTTCAGACTCCTTTGCATATCTTTACTTCAGAATATTGTGTCTTCTCTTTAGAATTTTTTGTTGAGTTGTTGTTTGAAATTAGGCTTAGTTAAATAAACTGTAAAGAAATGTAAATACAATACAACAACAACATCAACAAGATATTTATTTTCCTTTTCAAAATTTACATATAATCATATAATATCAATAATAATAATATTATTTATAATAATACAAACAATATAATTATAATAAAATATAACTAATAAGAACAAATATAAATAATTATTTGAAAAGGAAGGTGTCACTCAAACAGAAGCCTGATCAAAGGAGTGACACCAAATAATTATAACAATAATAGTTAAAAATAATAATATTATCTATAATACAAATAATATGATGACATGAGTGTCATTCATGATCAAAATGAGTGACACCAATTAATTATAACAATTAGTATAATAATAAAATAATAATAAAAATAATAAATATGAACTGAAAATCGCTAAGAAAATAAATAAAATAATTTTTTTTTTTTTATTTGCATTAACTCCCAACAAGGCTGCAAGCAACCACTATAAAGTTGGGAGTTACTAGGAGAAAAAAAAGAACAGAGTTATAGAGCAAGGAAACGGTTGACAGAAGACTTGAAAAGTTGAAGGTTGTATGAGTCAGGAAAACATGAAGATGGGAGAGAGTTCCAAAGGATTGAAGTGCGGGGAAAAAAACTAGATGAATAAAAGTTTTTAGAGCATGCAGGGACAGATACAGTAAACGAATGAGACTTAGCTGAATGACGAGTAAAACGAGAATGAATTTTAGTTGATGGAACTAGAGATGATAACTCCTTTGAGCAGTGACCATGATAGTATCTGTAGAAAAGAGAAAGAGATGCAACTTTATGACAATGGGAAAGAGGTTCAAGCTTAGCAGGTAGTCCAGGTCCAACAACATTTACAATGCGTTTTTGGACCTTGTCAAGAAGAGAAAGTGAATCGTTAGAAGAACCAGCCCAAATATGACAACAGTATTCCATACAGGGACGAATAAAAGAGTTGTAGAGGTAGAGAATGGAATCAAAAGTAAGGAAATGGCGAGCACGAAAAAGAGAAGCAACCTTAGCAGAAGCTAATTTAGCAATCGATTGTATATATGGTTTCCATGAAAGGTCAGTAGTAAGCGATAATCCAAGAAGACGTAAAGAGGAGGACTCAGTAAGAGGATTGCCATTCATTAATATAGGAATGTTGACCATATTGCGGTAGTTGTTTGCAGTAAGCAATTGGGTTTTTTAGAGTTGAAATTTACAAGCCACTGTGAACCCCAATCTATTACTGTTATTATAATAATAACAACGATAACGGGATATGATAAACAACCATAACAATAAACAACGATAAGTTAAATAATAAGACAATAATTATGAAAATACTTAATAACAACAGCAAATACAAATAAAAATAATAAGCAAAACAGAACAAATAAAAAACAAATCTTACACAAACGAAAAGGCAAAACACAAAAACAACAAGATAAAACACAAAAACAACAAAACGAAAAGGCAAACACAAACACTTCTACAAAAAAAAATTAAAAAATAAGGACAAACTTTAGTTATTTTTGCAAAATAATTGAAAAAAAAAATAAGGTGTTGAAAATTTGCTAAAATAGAAAAACAGGAAACAGCAATAAAAAAACTACAAAACGAAATGCATACACAAAATAATAATATATAACAAATATAAGTAATTAATAAAAATAATTAATGGTAACATTATAATAATAATCAATAATTAATATAATAATAAAAAATAATAATAATAATAAACAAATATCATTTTAAAGAATGATATAAGTATATATTATAAAACAGTAAAATGAATAAATAATAATCTAATATAAAATAAGTATGTAATACAAATAATAATTAAAATAAGTGATAAATACAACAAAGATAAGCTCAAAAAAATCTTCTAAAACTTGATCTTTTTTTCTTCTCTTCCGTTTTTTTTTTGGTTTCTTCTGTTTTTCTTTATCTTATCTCTTTCTTTTCTTTTTTCTTTTTTATCTTTTCTATTAGTTAAATTTAGGTGGTTAAAAATTCATTCAAAATTCGACTTTATTTACTGATTAGATTTGTTGTTTAGTTATTAAAAATTTTGTTTAAATTTCTTTTTTCTTTTTTTCTTTATCTTTCCGTTATAAAAACACGACCGTCATCATTAAAGACTCTCCACGGATCCAAACATAGATAATATTACAAACATGGAGTTCATAGAATATAGAATTACATTGATTTGTATAAATGAAGTGATGAGTATTTATGTAAGCACGGGCAAAAAAAGATGTAATAAATACCTGACCAGAAGTTAGTAATCCGGCTCAAACATTGCCGGATTTCCTAATTTTTTGCTGGAGCCAGATTTTTCTAAAATTGGCTGGAGTTGGAGATAAAATCCCATGCAGCCCTAATATACGTTTATTGTTATGATCTATTTTAATTTAAATTGCAAACAACTTTAATGGTAATTAAATTTAAAAAAATTTAATTAACATGAATAAAACAAATAAATGTTGTGATTTGGTCAAAACATAAAATGTGTTTCATATTTTGCTTTAATAATAAAAAATTTGCATTTCTAGTCCATTTTGATAAATAAATAATGAATATTTGAGTATCCCCTCACAAACTATTATCTGATATTTCTAATATTTAGGTGTAGTGTATTTTACAGAAGAAGCAGAAATATTACGAAAAAAAAAAAGCCAAAAAAAAACAAAAAATTATACATAATGACTTAGCTGTGCTTGCTATAAATGAAATAATGACTTTGCTATACAATTATTGTATGTTTTATTATATTTTTTAAAACTAATAAAATAATTTTCATTTGTGTCTTTGGTGTAAATTGTAACTAACTTACAAGTTAATGTGATTTTTTTAAATAACAAGAAATAATAAATAATACAAAAAACATTAAAGAATGTAAATAATATTAAATTTTCATACCTGATTCTGGAGTGTCATTAAACACTACTTCATTTAAAGAATATTTTGCACCTTCACTTGAGTAAAACATTGCAAATGAGTACTTGCAAAATATCCATCCACAATAACACTTGAGCCATGCAACTTGAAGATTTTAACTCCATCTAATATTTTATAAAATAAAAATATTATAAAGTTATAAAACATGCTTTTACTTTTATGTTTCTACCACACAAAACAAAAATTCACTGAACAAATGTGACAGAAGCAAAATGGGTCAGGGTTTGATAGGCCAAAAATGACAACAAGAGTACATTAGAATAAAAACCTGTGACATGATTGAAAAAAAATTAAAAATGCTACGATTTTAAAATTTTTACATTATTTACTTTAACAGATTTGTATTTCAATCTTGTAACTCAATCACAAACATTGTATTATACAACTTACTAAATAATATTACAAGTGCACAACAAAGTGCAGATGGATTTAAAAACAATGTTTGTAACTAAAAAATATTACAAGAAAGAAATAAGTTTAAAGTAATCAAAATAAGTGAATGTAAACAAAACGTTTTTATCAATTACTAAAAGACAAGCAACCTATGACTTTGAAAGGTGGAGGGGGTTTAGGAAGATCTGCTATACTTAATAAAATACTGGCCAATTAGTCTAAAATTTCTGAGTTAAAGTTATATGTTTTATAGATTTCCCAAAAAGTATAAGACTAAAACATAATTATAAAAGATACAAAAAACAAATAAATATAAAAGATATAAAAAAATTAAAATTACCATCATCATCAGTTTTATATTTCTATTATCTTTCAACATACATAGATCTTCCTAGTCATATTTTAAAAACCCAAAAAATTGTTTAAATAAAATATCTGCAAAAAATCTGGAACTTGTTTTCCCTTATTTACTTTTTAATTTTGTTTTGACAATAAAAATAACAATATATATTTTGAAATAAAAGTTTAAATTACATAGTTGTTTACTAATAGTACGAGTATTAATATAAGGAAAACACCAATTAAATAATAATAACAATCATATAATAATAATAAAGTAAATTAAACAAAGAGGATTATATTCATATCAATAATACTATTAAATATAATGATGACAATAATAATGATTATATTAGTAATTATAATAACAACAACAACAATAATAACAATAATAACAATAGCAATAATAACAACAATAATAATATTAATAATAACAATTAAATAACAACAACAATAATAATAATAATAATAATAATAGCAATAATAACAATAAAATTAACAATAGTAACAAAAATAATAATAATATTAACAAATATCACATATAAATATTAAACAATTTTAATAAGTAATAATGACGGTAAAAAAAAATGTAAATAAAATGTAAATAATATGAACATCACATATAATAATAATACTAATAACAATAGTAATAATAATCTATTATAAGCCTAAGATTTTAATTAAAACATTTTTCTATCAAATAGTTAAAATAGTTGAAATTTTGAAATTGAGGGATTGAAAATGAAAATGTAAATTACTTCACAATTTTACAAATTGGTTTGTAATAGAATTACCATTATATTTTACCGAACAGCGTTTTGGGATAATTTAAAGTTACTCAAAGATCGAAAATAATAACAAGAACTTTTTTTAGTGGTAAAAAAAATTGAGAATGACGGAGGGAGGTTTACTTGTTTATGATTCCAGACAGACAAATTAAAAAATAAACAAGATCACATAATTTGAGTATATTTGATAGAAAGTAAAGGATGCCAGAGTTAGAATGATAGTGTTGAAAGAATATTATTTTTAATAACCTTACAAAATCTTTACATAATCTTAAAAAAGCATTAAACTTGCATTGTCCCCAAACCTGACAAGTGTATCTAAAATGTGATCCAAAAATTGCATGGTATATATTAAGTAGAGTTTCATAAATGACAAAGTGGTGAATTTTGGCTAGCATCCCATTCGATCTACACAATTTTACTGCTAAGTCTTTAAGATGAGAGGAAAAAGATAGATCTGAGTCAACTTGGATTCCAAGATATTCTAATGAAACTACAGGAAATATTTTTGTCCACTTAGTCTAAAGTTTAGGTTTTTATACATTTTAGATTGGTTTGATTTGAAAATAATAAGTTCAATTTTGTTGGTATTAAGACTTAATTTGTTAGAAGGTGACCAGTGAAGAAGGTTATATAAATCATGACTAATATGTTTGTTAATTTTTTTTTAATCATTTGTTTGTTATAAGTAAGTTGGTGTTGCCAGCAAAATGGTAAGCCATTGAAAATTTTAGGAAGATATTGTGATTGTTTATTAAAATAAGGAAAAGCAATGGTCTTAATACAGAACTTTGGGGTACACCCGTGGAGCATTTTATTGGAAAAGATTTGGCATCATTGATGGAGAAAAATTACTGATTTATTAAAAAAATATGATGAAAACCATCGGAGAGTATTACCTCCAACACTGTAGTGTTCCAATTTACTTAGGAGAATGAAGCGATCAACAAAATCAAAGGCTTTCTCTATATCAAGAAACACTCCACATGCAAAAAAGTATGTTGTCAAGAGCATTTCTAATAGTTTCAGTTGTTTTAATAAGGGTATGAGTTGTAGAGTGTTTGTTACGAAATCCATGATGTACTGATTACTGATGTTTGTAAAGACATTGGTTTTTGTCAAGAAAGCTATAAAGTCTGTTGTACATAGCTTTTTCAAATATTTTAATAATGTTAGAAAGAAAAGAAACGTCCAATAATTTCTGTGTTCCATTTGAGAACCCATTTTATGGGTAGGAATAACTTTGGCTATCTTAAAAACATTTGGAAAAAGACCTTTATTAAAAGAATTATTCAATATGGTAAAGAGAGGCTTACAGATAACATAAGAAGTAAGTTTGAGAAAGTGTGTGGGGATACTATTTGGACCTAAACTTTTACCATTTTGTAAACTATTTTTTATTAAATCAGACACCTCATTTTCAGTCACTGGATTAAGAAAGAAAGTATTAGAATTAGGATTTTTTAAATAGTCAGAGAAGATACTTTTAGAAGAAACCAGTTTACTTTTGGTTGAGTGTTGTATTGTTTCATAGTATTTGTTTATAATTTTAGCAACAACCATACTGTCTGAGATAGTGTTACCATTAGACTTGAGAATGTAAGATATAATTGTTGTAGAGGGTTTGATGTTAACAATTTCTTTTATTTTTTTGCAAATTTTAGTTTTTCTGGATATTCAATGTTTTGAATATCCAGAAAAATTTGAAAAAAATATCCGCTATTTATAGAAATTTCCAGAAAAAGATAATCCCTGAACATAACACTTTTTTTATGATTAGTGACTTTAAGAAGCTATAAACTAAATTAGTTAACCCTATTTATAAAGTATTGAAAAATAAAAAAAACTATACTAAACATTAAAAAAATAAAGTAAATAGATAAAAAACATAAAATAATAACAAAAATAAAACAATTTATATTGTTAAGCACACCAAATAAACTTACAACAGTGAAAACAAAGATTTGATTGTGATTGTGAGTATTCTTTAAAAAGTTAACAATACCAAACAACATCTTTTTCATACTTTGATGTTCTAATATTCGTAAAACATGTTTTTAAAAACATTCTGAATGTTTTTTGTTTTTATTTTTTATTTTAACAGTAAAACAAGCGCGGAGTGTTGCTATATTGACTATCTTATAGTCTGTTGTTACAAGGAAGTGCTGCTACATCAACTATCTTATTGCGTGACTTGCAACAGAGTGCGGCTGCATCAACTGAGGGTTTAGTTAGGGTAGGCAGTCTATCAAATAAGAAAAATTAAAAAAAAAGTTTTTAATTTTTTCCAGCTTCAAAATAATTTAAAAAAAAACAACCTAAAACTGACATTTTATGGTAAAAACTTGAAATGACCAAACATGAGTGTATATATATAAATATATATATATATATATATATATATATATATATATATATATATATATATATATATATATATATACATATATATATATATATATATATATATATATATATATATATATATACACATATATACCAATGGTTGAAAATAAAGTTAGTAAAAAACATGCTCTCTACCTTTTTTCCCATTCGTTTGCATGCAAATAAAATGAGTAAATTTTTGGTTGAATTTAAATAATGTAAGCCTTGCCACCAGCATGCAAAAATGTACATTTAATATGCACCTAAGGTAATATTGGAAAAGTTTCATGCACTATGGTAATTTTTTTTTTTTTTTTAATTTTAATTCACCTCCTCAAGGCCGAGTAGGCCACTACAGACAAGGAGGCTACTTATTTTGTGGATATAACCCTCTCTCAACTCTATAACTCCGAAACATGAACCTTGACGAACAAGGCCGCTGCGCGGAGAAACGAGTTGAGCGCGGTACTACCAGGGACGTGGTGGGGATCGAATTCGGAACTACTCGTTTATGAAGCGAGCGCTCTACCACTACTACCACTACCACAATTATATGTAAGATGAGTCAGAGGAAGAATGATGATATCTGTCTGATAGGAAAGCACATATTGGAATTACCAACTTGCAGAGTCCCCACAAAAGGAGATATTATTCGCTTTTTCTTTGATTCGAAAGATGGAATAATGAAGAATTCATTAATCAAATAAAGGAAAAAGCAAACACGAGAAGCATTTGTAATGGTGCTGTGGCAAACAAAGTTGTTATTGAAGTTCAGCAGCAATGGGCTAAAACCGGCATTGAAATACGAAAAGACATGATAAAAGTAAAGATTCTTGATCTATATGAAAACTATAGTTTATATACAGATCAAGAAGACACTGCAGAAGAAAGAGTGCAAATCAAACAAATAAAAAGAGAAGATTTTTAGTGAGGATTAAAAACAGTAATTTTTCATATCACACTAAGATGCCCAAGCGGAAATAGAAACCAACAGACATACCAAAAAAATGAAGGATAAAGATCTTGATTTCCTCAGTGCTCTTTAAGCTCAAAAAAAGGTGTGTGTGTAGAAGACAAGATCTACATGAGAAAAGTAAAACATAAAATGAAGAGAAGAACAGTGAGGGAAGGAATGAAGTACATTAAAATAAAGGAGAATTATTTATTAGACAAATCATATTTTAACAGTTGTCAAGACAAAAATAAAGATTAAGAAAGGAATATTTAAAAATAAATAAAACAGGCTATACACCCACAACAATAATAACAATAAAAAAAAAAAGAAAAAAAAAAAGAAAAAAATTGTTTTATAAACACCAATATGAACGAAGATATACATCACCAGACAAAAACTTATAAAATAAAAAACCGATCACAAAATAAAAAATATGCTAACAACAATGAAAGGCATTTAATAATGGAGAAAAAAACATTAATGCTAATGAGTAAACATAATTTGTGTAATGATTAAGTAATAAACATCTCCTCAGTCGAGTCTATTATTGGTGTTTCGATGAGGATCAGCATTTATAACTAGTTTATACCAAACAAACGTCATCGCCACTTATGCTTTACCTTTTAATAGACTTACGCCTATTCCATACTACAGTAAAACGGGACTCACTACAAATAGCCAAAAACCCAACCAACCCCAAATTTGTAAAGCACTAATATTTTTTTGATGATATGATATAAAAAGTGTAGATTTACTGAACAAAAACAAAAAATTTTGGTTGAATTTAAATAATGTAAGCCTTGCCACCAGCATGCCAAAATGTGATAATGTACATTTAATATGCAACCGAGGTAATATTGGAAAAGTTTTATGCACTATGGTTGAATTTTCAGGTCAACAATGAAGTTAAAAGTGTTGATAGCAATTCAGTTAATTTACCAGAAGGCAAGATTTTTTAATGTCATGTAAAAGAAAAGAGTTTGACAAGTGTGGCAAAGAAGAAATACATGGTAACACTTAAGCTTCCAAAATACCTGTTAAAGAATGCAAAAATATCGACAATAGCCATAGGTTAAATTTGTCACCTGGTCAGAGAACAGCATTGAAAGCTGCAGCTATATTAAAATAATAATAATATATTAATTCACCTCCCCAAGGCCGTGAAAGCCACTATAATTGAGGAGGCTACTTTAGTTGTGGTTACAACCCTCTCTTAACTCTATAACTCAAAAACACAAACCTTGATAAACAAGGCCACTGCACAGAGAAACAAGTTGAGCACGGTACTACCAGGGACATGGTGTCTCTGGTGTTCACTTGTCTGTGAGTTACTTTATGTTTCTGTTCTGTTTCAAATTTTGAAACAGTAAATTTAACCACCATGTATCAAATTAAACATACAATA